GGGCTGACCCGGCCCACGGGGTGAGACGGGGCGGCGGGGCGGCCTCCGTCGGAGGCCCGCGGGGCGCACGCCGGCGTCGGGACGGCTCCCGACCAGCACGTGGCACGTTGTGTTTGCAGAAAGAAGAGCCCAGCAGCAAAAGGCTGAGGGTCGGGGCGCCCAGGTGAAGTGCTTTAGAGACGCCGAGGTGGCGTTACAGTGAGTAACCTCTCGCCGATGCAGAGGCAGGCTCGGCCTCAGGGTCCCTGCTGCTCCCGGAGCAGCCATTGCCTGGCGCCTCTCTGCCTGCGCTCACCCCGCTCCGTTCAGCCTCGGCTTAGTTTCTGGTGTCCGCTTACGAAAGAAAGGGAAAGAAGGAAGGACCTTTTGGGGCCATGAAAAGGCAGCTAAGCAGTAAAAGGAGTGGAAAAGGCCTTCTTTTAGTATTAAAAAGAAGAAAGAGGAGCCTTTGCCCTTCCTGAGCCGCACCAGACTCTTAGAATGCCAGGCCCGGCGAAGGCCAGCTGGCGTTGCTGCACCCCTGACTTCAGTCCCACAGGGCCTTTGTTCTAGCGCAGAAGCCTAACGAATCCTCATTTTCTCCAAAACGGAATTTGATTCGTCGTTTTTAAAGATGATCACAATCATCTTGGCGACCGATCCAACTTCACGAATGCACATCAACTCTAAAGCAGAGAGTTCTTAGGTTCTTCTGTGAGTTTTCATTGTCAGCCAGTCATCGCGACGACTCTGCTTGAGGCCTTGTTCTAGGTCAGCAGTGGGGACCGAATATCCCCCATGTAACAGGAGCCCAGAGGGCTAGGGTGTCATTTTCAGGGCAGGATTATTATGGAGGTGTTCTACTTACCTATTGCTGCTTTAACCTTAGTGGCTTTAAACAGTATCTGTTTTGTTTCTGAATCTGCAATTTGAGCAGAGCTGGGTGGGGATAGCACCTTTCCGCTCTACTCAGCTTTAGCCAGGTTGACCCCAGGGCTAGGTGCTGGATCACCTGAAGACTCACTCCCTCATATGCTGGGCAGTTAAATGCTGGCTGTCCACTTAGCTGGGACTGTTGGACAGAACACCTACACTTGTCCTTTCCGTGTGGCATGATTTTCCTCACAGCATGTTGGCTGGGTTCCAAGGGGGACCAGGCAAGTGGATAATATATTTGTGTGTGTGTATACACACAGTTGACCCTTGAACAACACGGAGGTTGAGGCAACAACTTTTCCTCAGTCCAGAATCTGAGTATAACTTTATAGATGGCCCTCTGTATCTATGGTCCCAAATCTGACAATTCAACCATCCACAGATTATGTAGCAATTATGTAGTGCCTATTTATTGAAAAAAAAGAATCTGCATATAAGTGGACCCGGGTAGCCTCAAACCCATGTTGTTCAAAGATCAATTGGGTGTATGTATTTTTATATATACATATGAGAGAGAAAAAGTGGGAGAGTGTGCCAAGGGGTGCCACTTCTGCCCTGTTGAGGCCCACTCAGTTTCAAGGGGAGAAGAAATAGACTCCAGCTCTTAAAAGGGGAGGCAAGGCTCTGGGAGTGCATGTGCGCCTGCTGTGGCTGTTTTTGTAACATACAGTTATTCACAGAAGACTTTGGAAGAGAAGTGGCATTGAGCTGAGCTTGAAAAGATGTGTTAAATGTGGTTCCTAGTTTCGGGGAGATGAAATTCAGGATGAAGGGAACTGAATATACATAAACATGCAAAATGGGGGATCTGCCAGGCCTATTCAGTAAGTCAGTCTGACAAAGAAGTCACCGTGGGGGATGGTGGGAGGTAAGGTTGGAAGGCTAAGTAGGGGCGTGTGAGGGAAGGCTTTGAAGGCCAGGTTAAGGAATTCAAACTCAGTAGGGGAATTACTAAAGATTTCTGAGAGTTTTTTTAAAAAGAAGGAGAAAAAAACTTTTTAGATTAGATCAGGCAGGAGTTTGCTGGATGGATTGGAGGAAAAGAAGTTTTTGTAGTCATACAGGTGAGAGGTAATCAGTCCTGAACAGTGGTGTCGGTGGCAACTGGTGGTGGGAGATGTGAGCCAAACTGTCCAGAAAGAATAGACACTTCCTGCTGACCGATTAAAGGGTCATAGAGAGCAGGAGTCAGAGATTTTCGGAGTTTCACAATGGAGTCTCTTGGGAGAAAAAAGTTAAACTGACATAGTTAGGAAAGCAGGACGGAGCGTATCCACGGCTGGGCAGGAGAGGGCGATGCTTACCCTGGGGCAGAGCCTGGCATAGCCCAGATCGCTCTCCTTCGTTGCTCTCATTCGTGGTTACAGTTCCACTGTTTGTTTATGTGATTATTTGATTGATGCTTTCTACTTAATAGAATCTGCTCCGTGAGGGCAGACCTCATCTGTGTTTTTACTTTCCATTATCTCTCCAGTACCTGGAACAGTGTCTAGTACATTGTAGGTGCCCAGCAAATATTTTTGAATGCCTTTTATTGTAGACTGAGAGAAATAGCTTGTGCACAGGTACAGACCACAAAATTGCAATATCCAGAGTGTTGTGGCCAGAGAGATAGCTGAGTGGTGGCTTGGTGTCTTATCGTGGAGGGCTTTGAATGCCAAACTGGAAAGTTTTGATATTCTTCTGTTGTGGTGGATAACCAGTAATGATGACTTTATTTCAGAGAATGGACGCAATTATTATTATTTTTTTTGGAGGATGGGATGGAGGAGGGAAGTTGAAGAGAGGAAAACTAGTGGCAGTCCAGATGGGAAATAATGAAGATCTGAATTATTTCAAATGACAAAGAGGCAGAAGCAGGATTTTTCAAATGTTATTTAATATAATCCTTAAAACAACTGTATTCTTCAAATTTTATAGATGAATCAACTAAGACACAGAGAGATGTCTCTTCCCACCTCTTCTAGGATCTGTCTTCCTCCTCGCCCCAGGCCCTTTCTGTTTCCCAAAGTATGGTCTATGGTCAATCTGCACTAGATTTACCTGAAGTATTTGTTAAAATTTTGATTGTCTGACCCAAGCACCAGCCATTCTGATTTAGGGGATCAGGAGTAGCCCAGGGGTTATGGGGTCAGTGATTCTCAGACTTCAGAATTCATAAGCATCATCTGAGGAGCTTGTTAAAATGCAGATTCCTCAGCTCTCCTCATAGAGATTGATTTAGGAGGTCTGGGTGGAGCCCAAGAAGCTGCAGTTGTAATAGCTCCTTCTGCCCATTCTCTGTGAAACACTGCGCTCAGATTCTGCATAATCCCTCATCTCCCTGGAAGCTCCTTCCTGTCTCCATAAGTGATCTCCAGTATACCACTCTAGACCTGGGGCCCCACATTTCTCCTGCCTGCTGGACTCTGCGGCCTAGACACCCTACTGGCACCTCAGTTTAGTGTGTTTAGAAGTAAACTCATCCTTCCATCCCTTGCCACTGCTCCTCCTCTGTTCCCTTGTGATGCTGCTGCTATCGCTAGCCTCCCTGCTGTGACCCCAACTCATCTGGCTTAAATATCAGCCTCATCTTTCACAGTAGTCCCCAGTTCTTACTTGTCTATGCTCGGTCTCATATCCTATTCCCTTTCTGTTTCTATCGCTTCTACGTTACTTCAGGCTTTTGTTACCTTTTATCCAGGATGTTGTAATAATTTCCTAGCTTGTCTCCCTGACTGTTTTCTTATGTTATCAGTTTAAGTTCTTTTAGACTGTGGCTCTGGGTATGTAACGTTTTGCAGTAGCTCTCTACTCTGCGGATGAAAGACCAGTCCTCTTAGCTTGGCACCGTGGACTTCCACGGGTGCTTTCCGTATTGACAGGCCGATTTTCCTAAGGATTAGAAATAATATATAGATAGTCCTCAGTCCATAGCTGGCCTTCAATAATTGGTAATTATTATTGTTGCTGCATTCACTGTATCATAATCCAGCTCTGTAAGATCATTTGATATTTTCCCTGCAATTTTGTGTCACTTGTACTTTCTTTCTTTTTTTTGGGTACTCTTTGTTCATCAGACTTTCACTGAGCTTCTCCACATCTCATATGCCGTCTTTTCTGGGAAACTTTCCCAGTCTCCCAGCCAGATGCAATGTCTCTGTACTTTGAGCCCCAGAAGACATTGGACTTCATTGTTAATGTGTTCCTGATGTAACTGTACTTATCTTTTCCCCTGGTTAGACTCTGGGCTCCATGGGGATGAACACAGGGGTCTTGGTCTCCTTCCCCTTCAGCTCTCCCTAGAGTGTCCTGCTCTTGCTCACTAAGTATCTGTTGAATGAAACCTGTGGTTGCTACTGATCATCAGCACGTTTGCTGGTAAAAGCTTAAAATACGACCTCATCTGCAGGTTCATTCCATTTAAAAAAGAGAATTCTTGGGGAAAACAAACATACAACTCTCTGCATAGAAAAGACTGGGACTGAAGTGACTGCAGTGCAGTTGATACTTTGGGCTAGGGACTGCCCACTTTACCTTTAAAGACCAGCCCTTGGCACGGTACCAGTGATGATGCCATACTGTGAGTCTGGTCACCTTCATCCACCAGGGTGCAGCAAACCACAGCATCCTTCTCAGTATCACCAACTGCCCTGCCAACCCCCCACCATGGTCTCTGCTAAATCAATAAGCACTGTTAATACCCTAGGCAAGAAAATAGGTTTGCAACATATAAAGAAATTACACTAATTACAATGGGATTTCTCCTATGAGTACTTACAAAGCTGGGTAAAATATGGATGAAGTTATTAAAAGCATCTCAACCAAACTTGAATATGCCATTTTTTTGGGGGGGTTCAATTTTTTTATTATAAGATGAGGTAAATTTAAATTAGTCTTCTGACTTTATTTCTCAGAGTTGTTAAAAGGGCTAAATGACAATGTAACTCATGAAAATATATTGAAAAGTACAAAAGCTGAGGTAAAATAGTCATCAGGGTTCCAGGTTTTAAGGAATTAGAGTAACTGAAAAATAAAACTGGCTGGGCTGCAGCCTGAAAGATGATGTATGTGCTTGTTTAACAAGGTGTCATCTAGGAAGGCCGTCATATACGTGTGGTGACAAGTCACAGCCACTGTCCATCATGTATTTTTTATCTTTTGTGACCTGACATTATAACTCCATTTTAAGAAACTGTTTCAAATAATATAAAGAACAACTGCATTTGTCATACTTTGGATTTAGAGAACCAGGTTCAAGATGTGCTTTTTAAATAAAAGTTAAATAATTTTCACCAGTATCCATATGCCTTACATTCATTACTCACTGTTAAATATTCTGTGACTCTTAGTTGTGGGATCCAGCAAAGAATGAAAAATCGCAAGAACTTTTCCTGCAAGAGGTACGAATGGGAGAACTTTGGTTATCCAGAGGTAAGAATGTAAACATTCCTTTATGAAGAGTTATTTATGATGATTTATGTTTGAGAAATATTTATGGATTAGTATTTGTGTGTCAAATGTGTTAACCAACTTGCTTTAGTTAAACTGTCCCAGTGTTTTTACTTCATCACATTGTCTAGCTCCAGTGTGTTACAGGTAATGTTCAAGCTCACGTTGCCATCTTAGAAGTGGGCAGATGGAGATGCAAAGCCAAATACAAGAACACCTTGTTTGTTGTCAGATGAAATTCTAAGTGAATGAGTTTTCCAAATGACTAAACGTTGTATGAATCAAAACCTAAAAAAATTTTAACTGCTTTACAAAAATTTTCCTGCCTTAGAATATTCTTAATAAAATAATTACTTGTTTTTGATGATAAAATTATTATGAATGACCACTCTTGTACTGTGTCTAATGTAGCAATGCCTGTAGGGGTACCTTGCACTTAATGGCCAGGAGTTGTATTTTGAATGATAATTTATCCCTACCAAATTCCAGATTTGAGAAAACGTCACAATATTGTCAGGTAAAATGATAGACAGTGCAAGTATTTTACAAATATTGTATATAATAATCATGTCTTTATTCTGGTGTTAAACATTAGAAAGAAAAATAATGTTTTGAGGCTTCTTATATAAGGGATAAATGAGCATTACACCAATTTATGTGTCTTTTTTTTGAAGTGTTGAAAATTCCCTTGCATATCACAGTGCCTGTAGCTGTTTTTGCTTCTTTTTATTGTCTTTTTTGAAAACATTTTTTCAGTCTGCAATAAGAGAGTAGCATCCTCCAGAATTTATAAAAATGAAGAGAAAGTCGAAATCCTGGACAGTTCATAGTGATACCTAAGAACTTTACTTTAATCCAGTGGCTTAATGGTTTTGAGAAATGAAAAAGCCATTCAAAGGGATTGCACATTAATCATTACAATTTGAAATTTTAATACTTTATTCAGTACAATATTTTCTCTTAGGTAGTTTTATAAATGGACTAAAAGTATCTGTTAAGTATTAATGACACAATGAATAGTTAGGACTTAGATAATATAAACAGAAGTGATTTTACACAAGGTAATAAAGCATAAGTTTTAAGGACCTTCATTTGCATGGGCCTCCCTGAAGGTTCTGGGAAGGGTCTTGCCAATTTTGTATTTTATTGTATAAATTAATTAGCACTTTTAGGGTTATATAATTCTACTATATTTTACTTCTAATGCAGCTATCATTTTGGTTGCTTTTCTTTAAGTCCCGACCAAACCCCAAGCCAATTAAATAACAACCTCTGGAGTGGGACCCAGGTGTCAGTATTCTTTAAACCTCCCTAGGTTATTACAGTATACTGGTTGAGAACCAGTGTTTGGATGCAATCATTTTTAACCCAGAGTATCAGTTTCCTCTGCTCCTTTCTGCCACCACTCCTAATCAGCACTACTTTGTTGATGGTTATAGGACTATCTCAGTTGTGTTTATGTCTGTATAACCAGAGGGACTATACAGCCAAAAATTTTTATTGAAATCTGATTAGCCAATTTGATTGAATTTATTGTTTGATTGACTTAATCGACCAAGTTGATTATTGTTTTTGGGTCACATTAGCTCCATCAACTTGAGAGCAGGCACTATTATATCTTTTCCTTTTTCTTTAAAATGTTCGATACAAAGTTTATTTCCTACCTAGTTATGTTAAATATGTCAAAATTTCAACTCTGTTATTTCATAACACCTGAAGAGAGGCAGCACATAGTAGTCCCAGCGTTCAGAAAATTAGGTTCTATTACTAATTCTGGCATTAAATAGCTTTGAAACCTTATTTCATTTATCTTTGCCTCAGTTTCCTAAAACAAGGTAGTGAGACTAAGTGATTCCATGTTTTAACTTAAATAGAAATTCTGTGATTAGTTTCCACTCTTCACGAATTTTCATTCTACTTTACAGCCAATCATTCTAAAACTAATTTTAAAACCACTTAGAAATCAAAGTTCATAAATCTCTTTTCTTCCCCTGAATATGTAATTCATATTACACTAATCTTGTTTCAACTCTTTGATAATACAATCTATTTTTAAAAAGTCTCATTTAGCTAGAACATCAAGATGTTTCATCTGTTACATCAATTACACATGCAGAATTTAAAGATAACTTGTGTCAGTAACACCACACGACAGCCTTTTAAAAAAACTCAATACCTCCCTCTTGCATACCCAAATTGCAAAAAATGAACATTTCCAATGCAGGAATACAATCTGAAATAATAATCTGGGTCATAAAGTTACCGTATGGCAGCCTGACCACAGTGAATCTAATTGGCAGCTCAACATTTCCCCTTTATACACTTTACTCTTTTTGAGACTTGTTTAAATAGTCTTTAGTTTGATATGATTTTGTAGTTTTAATGTTGGTGCTTCCTTGGTAATCTGTAGAATGTATATTTTGAAGAGCTTTAAAATCTTGCTCTAAACTTACCAATCTGTTTCAGGAGAGCATCGAATGGGGGTTGAACATCTCAGCAATGCCCTTTTGGTGTGTGGGCAACCGCGGGAACTTCTGAAAGTTTTCAAACATACACTTCCTCCCAAGGTATTTGAGATGCTGTTGCACAGAATTCCCCGTATTTGCCAGGTAAGCATATAGTCAGTTATCTTTGTGAAACAAACACAATAAATAACCATGTTGGGCTTGATTACACAGAAATAGCAGTGTGTATGTGAATGGCCCAAAGTTTTAAATGAGTGAAATCTCTAAATTTTTGTTTGCTTTTCTTGCTGTAAGATGAAACAAGCTTATTCTTTCATGTTCCTTTGACTATAATGAATTTTATATTTTGTTGAATATTATACATGTTTCAACATTTCAACTTTAAAGATAGCATTGTTAACATTGTTTATCTTTGTACTTTCAAAGACATTAAAATTATTGACTGCAATGTCAACAGAGGCCTATAAGTTAAATGCTACTGTTAGTTAAATGACCTAATGGCTTAAAAATTAGATGTAATACAGAAAAATGTAAATTATCAAAGCAGAATAATACTTCTACTTTCCAATATGACAAAACATAGAAATCACTTCGGTAAATTTAAACATACAGGCTAGTTAGTGTTAAGTACAAGTTCATAAGAGTATCAAATAAAATCCATTCATAAGTCAATTTATTAATAGGTGTTAGTCCACTTGTACTTACCAAACTGCTGGGTGTACTTATGCATCAACTAGAATTTCCTGCAAATGCCTGAATTTGTTTTAAGATTCATTTTGTCATAAGACACAACTTTAACTTTGGTTTATTTTTTATTACACTGATCAGATGCAATGGCTGAGAATACACTGTATATTGTTAGCCTGACTTTGAATCATTCATGTTGGGTTCTCGGCTTTTGAACAAAACACAAAACAATATAGTCTCCCCTAAAGTGTAATAATCAACTCTTAAACATTCCCAGGGTAGTCTCAAATGGGGTGTTTCCTGAAGATACATGAAAATGTTGCTAGCATAAGAATATGTAGTGCCCACCCTGACACAAGAAGGGAGGCAAGAAAAGGATTGTGCATTGAAATGATTAGTAAGTAACTATTTTATGTATTTACCAGCAATTTGAGGCAGACATGAATGAACAGGAATACTTGGAGGATGATCCTGATTGAAAAACGTTTCAACGTATCCACAGTCCAGTCAGAATACTATGGTCCCACATAATATAACAACTGCTCAGTGATATTTCCACTTATCTTTCTCTTAGTAATAAAAAAATTTTTTCCATCTCATACATGATTGAACACATAATTTACTTTAAAATTAACAGTCACAATTGAAGAAACAATGTTTTATTTTTCTAATCAAGTGACCAAGCTGCTGAGTCTTAAGGTCTCAACAGATACTATATCTTATTATTTTCATTGAACAATGAGGCCTTGTATTTTAATTATTTCCAGTAAATAGCAATTTTGTTTCTCCAGTGGTTTCCATTTGCAAAACAGTCATGACAGATGGTTTAACATGGTGGCTACTGCTTTCAGGGGATTCTATCAGGGGAATCCTCATTTCCAGTGCAATAGCTATTGGCAATCTTTCATCAAAAGTCCATCCATCAGGAGTTCTCTATCGTGGTTGGCCAAGGAGTCCTGCTTTAGCAGCCAGGGCTTCATTCTGCTGAATATGATATTCCTGAAATCTCATGGATATTCGTTGAGTCATTTTTAAATATTTCTGTAAGCAATGTTCTGAACAGGTGATCTAGAAATAAAAAGATCCAAGAGGCAACCCCAAATATTAATTTTAAAAAAAAATGCATGTGTTCTAAAAGATAACTAATGGGCACTTTTTTCTAAATATATCTGAGAATTAAATGGTATTAGTGAGTAGCAAGTGATCATAACTTTCAATTGTTAACTTTCATCCATTTACAAAAATATGTATTGAATGCTTACCAGTTTAGAGGCACTAGAAACAATGGTAAGTAAGTCCCTGCCTTCTGGACTAGATTTTCTGCGGGTATGTTTCAATATTAACTGAAGGCCCACATTCCCATCCCTTATTCTAATTGTTAAAATATAGGTCCAGTAGCAGGTTTGTTTCTTTTTATAAGAAACTCCATTCTCAACATTCTTAGTTTTCAACTTTTTATTAAGAAGACTACTATACTTAGCATCTCTCATGCTTCGTCATTTATTTAACGAGAACTTATTGATTGCTGGCTATATGTTGAGTTCTTGTTGTGAATATTTGTCAACATCTTCCACTGGAGGAAGTTTATGTCACTTTTAGCCAATATATAAATGTTTTGAAGAGGATATTAAAAAATTAATACTTCTAATAGGATTGGGTTTTCAGAGTCCACCTGTGCGATATGAGCCACTGAATTCAAGCTCTGCTTTTTCCATAATTAACCTGAGTTCTTAGGGTCAGATAGGAAAGCCATCTCAAGTTTCTCTAGCCCAGCCATCTTGACTGATTCTAATTATTAAGAACCTTTGATGGAACAAAATATTCAGCAAGTCTCAGGCATCTTCTCTAAAAAAGGCTGCCATAGGACAATGTGACCATCATTAAATTTGGCATTGTTAAACTCAATTCCATGGGCCCTGGCCTGCTTCTGTTCCTGAGCTAAGGAATATATAAAAGGTAGCCTAAATTCCTGTAATAACTAGGAACAAGCAAAAGGCATAGGGAAATCCCATTTATACTGTTTCTGACGAGCTTAGAGAATTTTTAGTGGGCAACGCTTTTCATACCTCTTCAGGTTTTACTTCTCTTGTTGTGAAGTCTTTAACACAGTCCAAAAAGCAGGTTTCTGTAAGTTTATTGTAGGTTCCAAGAAATTCCTTAAACTATAAACAAATCAGAAGGTTCTTTAATATTTGGTTTTTAAAACAAAGATGTTTTGAAAGTTTAGTTACTGATATATTTAGGCAAAATATCCTGTAATAACTTGAAATCAAAGGTTCTTTTGCTTAACTTAAATGGGTATAATATGATCTACAAAATATAGTCAGACTTTCTAGTTGAATATTTATTCTTTCCTGGATTAGCTTTAAAATAATCTGAAAAATAAATATGCTTCATATAATTTACTGTCTATTTTTGGAAATGAAATATAAACAGTTATTTTGTGAGATCACTGACCAACATGGTTGTATCCAGTAGTGCCTTAAATTTTTTTGCAAAATCTCTTTTCCTTAATTTTGATAACTTACCTGTTTTATCTGATCAGATTCTGGTATTTGTGCAGCCATATTCTTATGGTATGTGTATTAGTCACCTGAATTAAAAGTAAAAAGTTTGTCAGTCTGTATACAAATGTTTTTTGGCTAGCCAAAGAGTTAGGTAATCAAAGCAAGAATAGATTATGAAATAGAACCAAAACAAGTCTACCTAAAATTACCGTTCATATTTTATAAATCTCTAACTGCTTATATAATTATATGTCATCTCCTACCCCCCCAATCTCCCAGGTCATTAATGACGACAAAGAACCTTACAGTTTAGAATTAGGTTTTTTTTAAATGCCAGCTATGAGATCCAAAGGCCCTGTGTATCTCAACCTCCAGTTTTTAGACAGTTTGTTACCTTGCAAAGCCACATGTTAAAGCCTCATTCATAGTATGGTTTTATGGGAAACCAAGAGATCTCTGCTGTTTTCCTTTAAGAAATTAAGTTAACTATTCCATTAGTTGCTAATGTAACTTAGCCTGGTGCTACTCAAGATCCTTTTACTATCTCTATGTAAATAAAAAGGTTCTATTAATTTTTAAATGCCCTCCACTTATAAATCAACACTAATGAAAGATTCAGAGTTCTGAATCTAAAAGGAAGTTATAGGAGTTGTATGTTCTGCAGTTGAAAAGGGTAATCACAGAGACTTACCAGAAACTTCTGAACATGTGACAACTTGTGATCTAACTTGGGGGCAACAGGGAGTGAAGATAAGGAAGTCAAAGAGTCTTTCTAATTGACTGTTATTTTCATATATCCTTAATGGAGGACCCAGGCTTAGTTAATTCTGATACAAGAATGTATCATATTATTTACTTACTCTATCCTGGCTAGTTCTAAAGTGATGAATATCTCATATAAAAGATTTATATAAAACAAAACTGTTCAGAATATAAATTAAACAGTATATGTTAGGAAGAATAAATACCAATCATGTACACTGTAGACTAACAGAATTTCTATGCATTATATTTAGCTTTGAGTTTCCTGATAACCAACAGATAAAACTGGTTTGATAAACCCAGTTTTTAGTAAACTGGGTTTATCAAAAAAGATAAACTGGATGAGTATACCATTCTTATTAGCTCATCAAGTGAAAGGCATGCAATTTTCATGAAGCTTATATGAAGATTAAGTAGGCAATTCAAGCTTAGGCCAAAGTGTATACCTACTATCATGAAAAAAAATTAATTCATTTTGATTAACAAATACAATCAATGGTAATTCCATTTCAGCATTCCCAACCATGTATATACCTCCCCCTCTTTTGCATATTCTTCCCTCTTGTCCTTACCATATAAGTTCATGAGTATTACTGACATTTTCAAAAAGTTATGTTTTCCACATGCAAGGGAAAGCATCAGTTCTTTTCTATTTGCTATGCCAGTCTTATTCCAAAAGTCTAACTCTTTATATTTCAGAGAATCTGTGGTTTAGTAGTAACAGGATATAAACTATTTTTTCTCCTAAAGCTCTCCTATGTCTGCTACAAACAATGCAGTAGAGGTTTTAGGTTAGCCCAACGTTCAGGCATCAAGTGTTCCATAAACACTAAAAAGTTAACAAGAATGTTCTTACTCCCATTTTATGTCACAGCTTTATAAACAATATGTATATTTTAACCACATAAACTACCTGAAAAATACCAAGAATTAACTGCAGGTCACAATTTTTCAGGTATTGCTGTGACTGTCATCACTAATATGTTCCAGGGAAGAGACGTCCATAAGTTACTCTTAGCGCACTTAAATCATGAAACACTAATTCCGTACCCTCCAACTACTGAACTGCACACAAATCCAAACCTCATTATTACATCATATTAACATCAAACTTATTTGTAGTTTGAGATCTTAGCAGTTACCATTCTGCTAGGTAGATACTGGTAGATAATGGTAGATATTCATTCAGTAAACATTTATTGAATGTACCAAGTATTGTGCTAGTTGTTAAGCCAGCCATGCTTCTGAGGTAAGAGCCATCCTTATGGCTGCTATAAAATATCACTAACCAGTCAAAGAAACAGAGGATTTTGTAAGTATGTCATACAGTGAGGTTTAGGACTTGTGCTTCTGGGAAGATGGGGTAAATGTACTTTTCCCTACTCCTTTTACTAAGTACAACTCAAATCCTTGGACATTACACATGAAACAAACATAAGAGTCTAAAAAGTGGAGAGAAGAAAGTATATTAGCTAGGGCCCTTGGGACCTGAGAAACAACACAGTGGTGAATTCTCTCCTTTTTTTGGGCTCTTACATCACTAAGTTGGAGCTGAAGAAATTGGCAATCTGCAAATGCAAGTGGAGGCAGTCAAAAAAAAGCTCCCTATCCCCCCTAGCCAAAAAGCTGCCCTCTCTAGCAAAGGGCTAGGAAAGCGGAAGCCCATAGAAAACTTAAAACAATAACTGCAGTACTCCAGGCAAACACAGAAAAAACTGTGGCCCTCATCCTCACCCACATCGGCATTAGCCAGGTAGACTTCCACCCTCACCAGGCTGTAATGAAACACTCCAACTCCCACACCAGAGTAGTGTCAGAGAAGCGTGACTGGGGAGCAGGGTCTTGACTTCTTGCTGGGCATTAGTAAGAACCCCTCCCCTAAGTGAGGGGAGCCTCTTCAACAAATGGTGCTGGAACAACTACATCCACAGGCAAAAACATTTAACCTCAAAGTCAGCCTTTCACTTTATATAAAAAATCTTTCAGCTTTAGGGCAAAGAGTTCTTAGACTTGACATCAAAAGCAAACTACATATCTGATAAAGAACTAATAACTAGACAGTATAAAGAAATCTGCAAAATTCAACAGCAAAAATACAAATAATCCAATTAGAAAATGGGCAACACTTCACCAAAAAGGATATACAATGGCAAATAGGCACATGAAAAGATGTTCAACATCATTAGCCATTAGGGAAACACAAATTAAAAGCACAATGATACACAGCATTACACACCTATCAGAATGGCTGAAAAAATAAGTTACAACACCAAATGCTGATGAAAATGAGGAAAAACTGGATCACTCAGATATTCCTAGGGGTAATATGAAATCATTTAGCCACTTTGGTAAACAGTTTGGCAGTATGTTAAAAAATAAATATACAGTTACCATATGACCCAGTAATTGCATTCCTGGGCGTTTATCAGAAATGAAAATTTATATTCACACAAAAACCTATACATGAATGTTTATAGAAACTTTATTTATAATAGTCAAAAACTCGAAGCAATCCACATGTTCTTCAACAGATGAATAGTTAAACTGGTACACACATACCAGAGAATACTATTCAGCAATAAAAAGGATGAGGTATTGATTGACGCCAGCCTGGAAGAATCTCTAAAGGATTATGCTGAGTGAAAAAAGCCAATCTCCAAAGGTTATATACTATATGACTCCATTTATATAATATTCTTAAAATGACAAAATTACAGAAATGGAGACGATAGTAGTGGTTGCCAGGGGTTAAGGAGCGGGCGGGGGAAGAGGAGAGTAGATGTTACTGTAGAAAGGCAACATGAGAGACTTGTGAAATGGAATTGTTCTGTATCTTCACTGTATCAATGTCAGTATGCTGGTTGTGATATTGTATATAGTTTTGTAAGATTTACTATTGTGGGAAGCTGGGTAAATGGCAGAAGGGAGCTCTGTTTTTTCTTACAATTGCATGTGAATCTACAATAATCTCAAAATAAAAAGTTTGAGGTTGTCCAGCTTTCTAATCCTTGCCAAAGAACAAGATACAGTCTCCAGTGTGGTAAATGTTAGAAAATGTTCAGAACTAGAAACCAGCCTGAAAAGATACAAGAACTGGTAAGATAACTTTTGTGGAAATAGGTGCTAAATGAAACCCTTGTTTTGTGGGAACTTAAAACAAGAATTAAAGGAACTTGGTTTACCAGCAGGCCTCTAGCTGAAAGCACAGAAGGTCATCCAAAGACCCTGAGCCTTCTGAACTGTAAAGCTATACAGTATAGTTGCTGTACTTCAGGAGGACGTGCAGCAGACTGGACTTTCTACAGGTGGCACCAGAGAAGAAAGATCTGATTTCCTTATTTACAAAACCTTAGAAATTTACAAGTTCACTAATTATAACGCCAAAATCTGTTTCTTTTCCCTATTCCTATCCTAGTATTTCTTCAGGCTAAAATTCATTTATAATATGACTTTTCAACCAGAGGTCAGAGAAGCAGAAAGTATGAAATCTTTAAATGCTGTGCAAGTCTCAGAGACTGGTAACACTGTGCTGACTCTGCCTCACTTCCCCCTTGGTATACAACTCAGTGATAAATGATGATTGTTATTGGGAAGTCTTTGACAGATACTGAGGAGGAGCACCTCCAAATGTTTCTATGAATTTTCTTGGTATTGTCTTTTAATATACAGTCCTTGACAGTATATCTCCTCTTTTAATGAAATAAAGTTTATCCTATTACTACAGTAATATAATCTGTTTCTTGAGAATTTGGAAAATAAAAAAGTAGTAGTCCTACTACTCAAAGATGACTGTGTTAACATTATGATTTTCTAGAATCATTCAACTGTATTTTATTTTTTAATATATCTTCCCAGACCTATAACTGAACTCAAGAAGTAACAGTCAGCAATCTTAAGTCTGCCTATATCTCCAAAGCTCTTCTCTGTAGTCACCAATATCAAGATTATGGTATACCTAACTGTAGGCAATTCTTTCTAGAAAATATGGGAGATAACTGAGTGAATAAATGATTTTCAAATTTCAATTTGCTAGTTTGGGTCTTCGGAGTCTCTCAGCTTTCTATTTTGCAGTTATTTAATTCTAGTTTTGCTGATTGACAAAGTTCAACAGCCACACAAACCATCTGATAGAACAGGTAGAAGCAATGCGGCTGCCCTTTTGTTTGGTCCTAATTTTCAGATACCACAAGCAAATGTCTGTTATTGTAGAGGCAAATATCCGATTTACCTTCTTGTTATATCCCTGAAACCTGAAGAAGGAGGGAAGGATAGAGAGTTCTAGAATCTCTGTCCTACAAAATATATCATAAACCCAGGGAACTTAAGAGTAAAAAGAGATATTAGTCAAGCTCAAACCTTTTCTGATGCATGAGTTTCCTTTCTGTTCTGGAAAAGTAGTTGTCCAACCTTTGCTTGAATGTCTCCAGTTGAGGCCTGATTTCTCACCTGAAAAATGAGAGGATTACAATGTAACTTTTCAGGCCCCTTCAAGTTCTAAGTTTATTCGATGAAATCTAAACTTCTGCTGGCTAAATTTTCTGAAAAGCCTTCTCCTTTTCAATAAGAGAAATTAGTTTCCTCAGTCGATTCTGAGGTTACAGTTCTTTAGCATATGTGTTATATGTATTTAAAAATACTTGATATCCTTATCTTTCCAGGTAGTATGTATGTACAGGTGAACACACAAGGTCAAACAATTCCCAGAAACTTGAGTATTAAAAAAAAACAACAAAACAAACCTAACTAACCAGGGTATGATGGGGGAGATAACCTTCTACTTAGTTTTTAGAATCATATGCACATTTATACCAAGTCTAGAGTCAATTCTAATTCTTTTCAAACTTAGTTTATAGTAAGTGATTCATCTTATGTCCTCAGCCACTATCACTATAATTGATTCTGGTCTCAGCATGATTGGTTCAGGTTATTTGTAATCTTGTGATTCAGGCAAGGATCACAGATAGATGATAAAACTACTGGGTAATGGGTTATTGGAAAACAGGATGTGTCCATGGTCTCGATGCATCTCCACAGGTTACTTATTATATAAAGAAAACTGTACCTTTACATTGGGAAGATCTGTCAGTCACCACCTTAACCAGTGTGGTATCTTTGTGGTATTCTTGCCAAAAATGTTTGATGTGACTCTAGTCATGAGGGAATAATTATGGCCATCCACAATGTGGGACAATTTGTAAGACAACTATACTGGTCTTTTCAAAAAGTTAAAGGGAAAAAAAAAGTTAAAGGAAAGGGGTAGAAAGGCCTGTTCTAGATTATGAGACTAAAAAGTCATGACAACTAAACACAATTATAAACTTTGATTGGATCTTGAATGGAAAAAAAACCCATTTTTGTTAAAAATAAAGACATTTTTGGGACAATTGGAGAACTCTGAATGTTCTTAGGTGTGATAATCATTTTGTGGTTATGTAATAGTATGTTCTTAAGGAGATACATCCTGAAGAAATCAGGATTAAAGATCATGATGTCTGCAACTTGTAAATGGTTCAGCAAAAAAAACCCTACATATATCTTATGTGTATATTTAGAGATGAGAGTGAGAGAAGTAAAAATGTTAACAACAAAAATAAATAAAAGATAACAATCTTGTGAGCCATATTTTTTGTTCCAGGGCTATACATTCTTTATTTGATATGTCAGATGTCTAAATTGGTATGAACTAACTAGTTAGATTGATAATAAAATAGGATTCCACTATATGTCCCTTTACTTTAGACTGTTTGCAGCAGATTTAGGAAGCTATGCCCCATTAACTGGCAACCCTAACTTATTATTAATCAGAGCAGAAAATAATTTTGAAAGATTACTGCACACTTGGTTTAAAGGATGACTTCAAGATCTAGAGGATGAGCTATAAGCACTGAACTAGAAGAGGGCAAGACTACTTGGGTTTTAACCTTAGCTTGGATAGTAAAGGGGTTGTAAGATCCAAAGTAAGTCATTTATTCAAGTCCCTTTAATGAGTTTCTATGCCTATGCGTACACCTTAGAGAGTAGGGGGGAAAGGTCACTTTTTCTTTCACATCTAAGTTTCACCTAGAAAATAAGGGAGTTAAATCATCTCCACTGTCTCTTACAGCTCCGACACTGTCATATCATTAATTTACATACACTATAAAACAGTGAACAAACGGGTACTAAATGATAATGAAGGAAATGTAACTGAAATAATTACAGAAACGCATCAAGGCAGAATAAAAGGCTATCCAAAGTTGAGCCCTTAAGGTCCCCTTTAATTCTAGGATTTCTTCTGTCAAAGTAGACAGCTGAGATGTAAAAATAAAATTTGTTATTTAACTTTTACATCAGATTCCATTTTTTTGCTTTGATTAATCTTTTAAAAAGCTTTTAGTAATGCGTAAAGGGAAACGGTTAAGTAACGCACCCTCGAAAATTAGCAGATCAGATAAGGTGTGCTGGCCCTGGTATTCTCTGTACAGAGAATTTTTCAGTTAAAGGAGGGTGTCCTGCCTATCAGCTCAAGGTCACGGCGTGGATTCCTTGCAGTCTAACTCAGTGTCTCAAAACAAGACCCTGACTCCCCATGCCCGGGTTGAACGTGGCTCAGAGCCTCGAATTACGACCCTCCCCCAGTGACACGGTTTCGAGGCAGGTCCCAAGTCAGTTCTGGGAACGCGTTCCCCGGCCCGCAGCCCCCCATAACCCCAAGTACCCGCGGCGGCCTCCTTCAGAGACAGAGACCCCTGCCACCTTTCCGAGGCATAGTTTGCCGCCCCCGCCTGGGAACCCGGGATTCTGCGGGCAGAGAAAAGAGACCATACTTAAGCATAGGCTCTCGCATCCGACACCAGTACGAGGCTAGGTGGGGCTGCGCTGCCAGTCGAGTCTGGGGGCGGAGGGTCAGGGTCAGGTTGAGCGCCGCAGCCGCTGGATGAAAGAGAACACGTGGGAATGGCGAGATGGCAAATAGCTCTTATACGTCTCGACGCCGATTCGTTATAAAGCCGGGAACTCTAGAGGAAAAAGCCGATATCATAAGAGAATTCTAAAAATCCCTCGAGAATTAATTTTTGTGATTATCTGCTTAGACAAAACTCTCTATTTCTGACTTCCTTGCCAACATTCACCCGAATCTGTCGAAACTCTTCGTAAAACTAATTTACTTAATCTTACGTCTCTAACGGTCTTCAGGTGCTACATTGTAAATAGTCCCTAATAAATAAGAGCGGTATTACCAGCTAACTCTGGAGCTCTGCAACTCTTCGATGAGACTTTCGGGTGTTAGTCAATGTTTAAATTTTGTGGGGCAATGTATTCCTTGAAAAACGACAACGACAACAAATTCACAGCCGTGTTAAGCCTTTTACGTTGGGAGTTCGTTTCCACCCGGACAGGGATGGAAGAGCACCAGAGAGAATCTGGCTTTTTGGTTGGGTGTTTTGGACGCTTTTCCTGTTGCGCATGCGTATTGTGTGTCAAGGGCGGGTTTAAAGGGGAGTGGGTGTTGACCCGCGGGCAACTGAAGTTGTTGTCGGCTGGGACTTGTGACTGCTCGGTTGCCGAGCGGCCGGGAGACGCACAGGAGTGAATTTAGGTGTCCGAGGGTTGCTTCTGGAGGAAGAGAGCTCTTAAGGTTCCTTTGCGGGTGATTTTTTTAAAAAAAATAGCATTTTAGTTTTACATGTTTCACTCCCTCTTCTCAAATTTTAACCCCGCCTCCACATCTGGTTGCTTTTACCCTACTATCTCTCAGGTTGGGGTGGGGGTGCCCTGTGTTACTACTTTTTTATCGCTTATGCGGTCATTCTCTTGTTATCCTCTTTCAGATTGATTGGCACGATGCATTAATAGAGTGACTGGGATTGTTGGGTAAATGTGTTCTAGTCCTCTCTTATCCTGGGTTAGATCCTAAATTGAAATGTCTAGCTTTGTGGATAGTCTGTTTAGACATTGTTTTATGTAAAAGTTGATGACTGCATGTTTCAAAATCACTTGAAATTCACGTTTTCTTTATCATACTCCCTTACTTCCCCACCCCCCGCTCCCCAACCCTCAAAGTCCTCAAAGCGGTGAAAATTTTGTTCTGAAGCTTTATGGACCCAGAAGAAAATTCTATTCAGAACTGTCGGACTAGTTTTGTTACCAGTAATATGAAAGGCTCTGAGTTTAGCCCGGAAAAGAAAAAAAAGGTTAAAATACCAGCGAGGAGGCTTCGTGAGGTAGTTTCTCCAAATCAAGGAGATAATTTGGCTTTGCTGAAAGATGAGCTGTCCTGTGTTCCTCCAGCGTTGTCTGCAAATAAACGTCTTTCTGTTAGAACGGGAAAGAACTTGAACGGAACGTTGCACGGTATGTGATTGCAAATAGTTTTGAACCAGTTTTCACGTCTGTAAGTCTTTAGTCTTTATTTTCCTTTTTTTTTTTTTTGTATTTCAAGATTTAGAGGATTTTTAATGTTTAAATTCCTAAGCATAAGATATGTCTAGTTTGTACAGGAGTTTGAAAAGTGACCCCATTCCCTGGGAAAATGGCCAGGCACATTCTACATTGAATAATATTAAGTAGATGGAATGAATAAAACATTTCCTTCTTTGTTTTTTCTTTGTATGGTTTTTGCACACTATTCTTGTTCACATCTGTGGTGGGCACACTTAACCAGTGTGATATGTGCTAACTTTTCACCAGTAGAGATTTTTACCTTCTGTTTGGATAGTGCTGTCCAGTTTGGCATAGTAGAAAAATCACAACTTCTGCCTTTAGATCGTTTCCATGTTACAATTCACTTAACCTGTCTGGAGCTTCCTGAAAATGAAGATAACATATGCTCTACCCACTTCACTGATAATCAAATTAATGAATATATGTGCAAAAATAAAAAAAATCAATTAAACAAAAAAAAGCTTTTATAATGCTGCTTTTTGGGAGTACAGCATAACATAGGCCTGCTGTTGAATCAGGCTTTTGTACCCATAGTATGTCCAGTATAAAGATTTTATTTTATAATATTTTATTCTTAGCTCACTTGACTGTCAGTTCTGACCCCTTATTTTTCAAAATATCCGGTGTAAAAATCTTCATCAGGAATATTTAGTTACCTTTTAAGGTTTTTGCATGAAGAGTGGCATCCAATTTAGGTCTTGAATTAATAGAGTTTATAGTTCTTGAATCATGCCTGTAGAGTTTCTAAAGGTAACATTTCTGATTTGAAAAATCACTAAAATTGATTCCTTTATTTTGTTAGGTTCATCAGACTTAACTTCTGCTACAAATTATCAGCAGCCTCCATTAGAAAATCCCGCTGTGTCTGAAAGTGTAAGCAAAAGAATTCTTAATTATGATCATGTTAAAATTTTAAGTGTTGTCAAATAATGTTTTTAAATTGTGTTTGATTAGCAATAGGCTTGTTTTTATTTAAATTTCACTTACGAAAGACATGTTATTACAAGAAGGAAGGGTATAGGTCAATCGTAGAATGTGTGTTTAGCATGCATGAGGTCCTGGGTTCAATTCCCAGTATTTTCATTTAAGTAAATAAATAAATAAATAAGCCTAATTACGCACTCCCCTCAAAAATAAAAATAAAAAAGAAGAAAAGGAATGTTTTTATATGCTATGATTTTGGCTTGAAGTGTTTGAGACTTTTAAAACAAACAAAAAAAACCTTCCATAGGATCAAAAATACTCATTAGTAAGATAATTACCAGCAAGAGAAACATTATAATTGAAGAGAAGCTCATCAAAGGAAAAGGCATCCTAGACCAGAGACTTGACATACTGTTAGGTGATGGTAAAGGAGCTGTAACAAAAGTGAGGTGTCAATTTTATATCACTCAAACTGTTGTGAATTCTTTTTTTTAAACTTTTTTTTTTATTGAGTTACAGTCATTTTACAATGTTGTGTCAAATTCCAGTGTAGAGCACAATTTTTCAATTATACATGAACATACGTATATTCATTGTCACATTTTTTTTCGCTGTGAGCTACCACAGATCTTGTATATATTTCCCTGTGCTATACAGTATAATCTTGTTCATCTATTCTACATATGCCTGTCAGTATCTATAAATTTTGAACTCCCAGTCTGTCCCTTCCCACCCCTCTCCCCCTTGGCAACCACAAGTCAAAGTGTTGTGAATTCTTTTGGGTGCTTTTGATTTTTTTGAAGAATCTTTAAGAAATAATAACATGAAATTCTTAATATTTTTTATTTATAATGCTGAAAAATTTTTATTGTAAATATCATATTCTGGTCATGCAGTCTGATTAGACATTGACCACTAGTTACAATGTTGGCTTATGTATTGTTAGTTTAACAAGTAAACAAGAATAATATTGAAACTATTTACTTATGAACTTTGTCAAAAAAGCACAAAAAAATTTATGATTATGTGCTGCAGTTGGTCCCTGAATACATGCCTAGCCTTTGGGTTGGTGTTTTTTGTTTCTTTTTTGAGCAGGCCTTATCTAATTATCAATGGTATCTGCATTCCATTATCGAAATGATTTCCCAGATGATCTTTGGAAGATCATCAGGCAAGAGTTAATTAGATTTAATATGGGCTCACAGCTTATTTTGTGTAGTTTTGCCTAATATAAAATATGCCTGCAAAGCAAACATAGCTTATTATCATAGCTCGTCTTACTGTGAATACAAACTGCAATCTCTTTGCATTATGTTTTTATTTCATAAATGAGTGCTAAGATTGCAGTGTGTATTAATGAAACCATGCTATTCAGTGAGAAAACTAAAGGAGTCTGTGCCTAGTATGTTCACATTTTTAAGCTTATTTGTGTTTGGTCCTGTTCATACCTATTTCTCTCTACTACCTTTTCCTATTAGGGGCAAATCCTTATGCATGTTCAGAAAGAAAACAAAAACTTTAAAAAAAATTTCACTGGAGAAAATACAAAGGAAAAAGGAAAAAAGAAATTAACTAAAATCAACAACTGTAAACATTTGAGTATTTTTCTGTATATATGCATTTTATAAAGTAGGACTATACTGCTTTATATCTAAGTAGTAAGATTATCTTTACATGCCATTCATTTTTTTCCCTAGAAACATTTAATAAGTTTATAGAATTTCAGTGTATGTATTGACTATAGTTTGTTTATATTCCTGTCATTTAACACTAAGTTTTCCCGTCCTCCAATTTTTGATAATACATACAGCCAGGAGATGAACGTTCTGGTATATATCCCAGGGCCTTAGATTAGTTTCTACATTTACCATTATTAGAGAAAGGATTGCACACATTTTTTGCAATCTTTCTAAACTGCCTCCAGAAATACTGTATTAATATAAGTTCTCTGGAATTCATGAAAGTATTTCCCCTCATCTTTACTTATACAGAGCATTATAATTAAGCAAAAAAAAAAACTTTGCCATTTTGATAGATAAATAAGGCATCTCATTGTTTTACTTTGTATTTTTTTTTTATTACTAGTGAAGGGAAGATTTTTTTCATGTATATTGTTACCTGTATTTATTCTTTTGTGAATTACATATTTATGTGCTATGCTTTTTAAAATAATGATTTAGCAGGGAAAAATGTATGTCTAAGGAAGGTGACTCAATATAGAATGAACCTAGTATTTGAAAAGTTGTGATGTCTTAGAACTGAATAGTATCTTAGAGATGAAGTCTAGGGTTATACATGTGCGCAGAAAGGTATTTGCTAGTAGATGTCAGTTATACAGAGAAGTCTTCTGAGAGCACATATGGCTCAGTGATAAGGAATACTGTGATTAATTTGTGATGTTGTGCCGTGCATCCTTACATACTTCATTCCACTCATAGTGAATCACATTTTCACATTTAAATATAGCCGCCGAATGTTACATGAGTTGCTCTGCTGGAAGTAGCAAATCAGGATTTGAATTTCAAGGCCACAGTTGTTTGCTTGTTCATTTACCCATTCATTCACTTGTCTGACAGCTCATTACTCATTCACTCAACAAATCTTTGAGTGGCTTCAAGTTACCTAAGCATTGTGTTGGTGCTGGGAGTTAAGTATATAAAACACACAGTCCTGTCC